GCTCGCTGCGCTCGCTCGGTCGCGATCATCCTGTACATCAAATTTTCACATTTCCTTAACGAAAAAACACCCTGTACATCAAATGTCCCGTCGACGTTTCCTTAGAAACGTCAGTGACATTTTCAGTCAATGTGAGGTTGGTTCTTTGCCGCTGTCATTAGTGTACACTTTTCGAAATTAATTTAAACATTTCTCGGTTATTCGTCAATAAAATGAGGAGAAAATTGAGAGGTTAGTAAATTATTGTATATTCTTTCTGTTTTAACCGTTGAAAGCGGCTAAAAGGTTCGAATTAAGAAAAAATCTTGCACCGCGATAAAGTTCCGTTCAAACTAAACGAACGCAAATCGTCCATCAAATAATTTTTTAAAAAATGTGTCAAAAATTTCAACTTTAAATCGATATTGTGAACGAAAACGAATTTAGCTGGGAAAAAGAGGTCGATTTTCGTAATCAGCGAATTTTTTCACGTCCCCCCATCTACCTCTCGACGCCCAAGTAATTCAATTTGAATTTCTCTCGCCAATCGGTCTATATCACCTGGGGTTTTATATATATAGTGACTCGCTTGTCAGCTCGGAAAGGGGGCTGCGCCCCCTTTCAACCCCCCTTTCTTACGGTGGCGGCTTCGCCGCAAGACAGTTTGCTAGCCGGAGCCTCGCTCGCTGCGCTCGCTCGGTCGCGATCATCCTGTACATCAAATTTTCACATTTCCTTAATGAAAAAACACCCTGTACATCAAATGTCCCGTCGACGTTTCCTTAGAAACGTCAGTGACATTTTCAGTCAATGTGAGGTTGGTTCTTTGTCGCTGTCATTAGTGTACACTTTTCGATATTAATTTAAACATTTCTCGTTTATTCGTCAATAAAACGTGGAGAAAATTGGGAGGTTAGTAAATTATTGTATATTCTTTCTGTTTTAACCGTTGAAAGCGTCTAAAAGGTACAAGTAAAGAAAAAATCTTGCACCGCGGTAAAGTTCCGTTCAAACTAAACGAACGCAAATCGTCCATCAAATAATTTTTTGAAAAATGTGTCAAAAATTTCAACTTTAAATCGATATTGTGAACGAAAACGAATTTAGCTGGTGAAAAGAGGTCGATTTTCGAAAAGAGCGCATCCGTTTACGTCCCCCCAACTACCTCTCGATGCCCAAGTAATTCAAATTTAATTTCGATCTCCAATCATCGTTAACGCCTGGGGTTTTATATATATAGTGAAACTATTATAAACATCTTTATTCAGCTAGATAAGGTCAATAACATTATTCGAGTTTTCAGACCTTGTAGTATACGATTGTGCTTCTGTTGATTGGCCATTTCTTTGCACCGTTTTCGTTTTAGGGATTTTTTTTAAACATATAAACAATAGTAGTACTAAATAGTACCTATTTTGTCTACGGTGTATGTACATACGACAATTCTCTACTCAATTTCCTCCACCTTTTACCTGTTATATCAATTTTCAAATCAATTGACTTCGAATTGGACACACAAACCTCACCCACAGTCACCTCATGACCTCAGACCCTCCTCCTCTGTGTCAGAACTGCAACAGCGTTATGTCCATTAAACATCTCCTCACTGAATGTCAGCAATATTCAGCAAAAAGAAGTCAGTTCGGGCTTTTAAGTACCTTGCCGGAGATTCTCAACTCGCCAACAGAGATTCATAAAGTTATAAAATTTTTAAAAGACACTAATCTTAGCGCCAAAATCTAATTGTTGCAATGTTTCAATGTAAACTACCTTTTGTACCTGTGTCAATGGCCCCAGATGCCGAGACACGTTAATAAAAAAAAAAAAAAAAAAAAAAAAAAAAAAAAAAAAAAAAAAAAAAAAAAAAAAATCAATTTTCAATCAAATTTCACAGCACAGCGCTTTTTTACTTCTTTCTTCACTGGAAGTCTGAATCTGAACTCCCTGTATCTGTTCGAGTGCCTTACTAAATTAAAACGTAGTGAGAAATTAATTCATCGAGATTAGTTACTGTTTCAGTTGTGTTAATTGAATCACCGGAAAAATAGCAAAGGTCTGTATAATTATTACATACATTATAAGTTTATTTAGGTGTTAAATAGTTAAAATATCGATAAATATTGTTTTTATTAAATCGTCAATATCGTGGAAATGGCTTTATAAAACACAATTGTCTTTTATATACTGAAATAAATGAATATTTTAATTCACTTTAATTATAATTGGAAGACACTTCTGAACTATCCAAAGACTAAAAGAAGGAATTCAATTTTTTTGAAATATTTTCGTTAGTAAATTCTCTCATAAAAATGGCGACTCGGTAGGTAATTAAAAAAAAAAGAAAATAAATATCGAGTCACGTACAGTTTTGCTTATAATGCAAACTAAATGGGAAGATGTATTTTTGCTTAATAAACTATTTCTTAATTTTCAACAATAAGTTGTATGGATTATTTCGTTTATTCAAGTTGATCGTTGAATATTCGGTGAAGCACCGGCAGACATGTTGCTTTTTTTATTAGAAAATTTTATTTTTATTTTATTTTCCCAATACTAGCTTTTTCGCCACAGCCACGTTTATGGTACGGAAAAATCATTTTGTAACCGGTCTATCAGGCGGTCTACCGTGATTCAAATTGACTCTCCATTACCAGTCAGCGACAGCAGTTATTCGGGTAAAGGCAATGATTCATCAAGTCCTGAATTAAAAGAAGAAATATTAAAGGAGTTTCCATCGGCCGAAATACGCGTAATAAAAATCGTACCAGACGATTTGCAGGAAATTAAATCGACTCTAACAGAATGGTTTGACTTGAAAATCAACGTAATATTCACAACAGGCAATTTACCAGACATCATCTTTGCTATGATCACCAGTAGCTTGAAGATTAATCCAATTGCGATGCTCTCCAGACCCTTGAGCGGTATTAGAGACAACACGATGATAGTAAATCTGCCGGGAAGCCCTGAAATGGTTTCGGAATGCTTCGGTATCATCAAGGAAGCCTTACCCCGCGCTTTGGAGCTCCTAACAGAACAAAAAAAATCTGTGGTTTCTGGTCACGGAGCCATGCAAAGCGACTCAGGAGCATCCGTTGTCCCAACCACCAGCCTTAGTAAGGTAATTTATAAAATTAACAGCTTCGACATCAGCGAAGGTACTATTACTCAATTCGAATTTGTCTTTATTTTCGTAGGTGAAACTGGCTTCATTAAGAAAATACCGCTACCCTTTTATCGATGTTGAATTTGCTTCTGCTATTATTAAGGATATTTGTTCTGATGAAGAGGAAACCACAGAAACGGTGCCTTTGGAGAGATCGCTTAATCGAATTGTAGCAGAAGATTTTCATGCTGAAGAATCGATTCCTTCATTTGCAACTTCGATTATAGATGGTTACGCTGTTAAAAAGAGCGATGGCAAAGGAATACGTGTTGTGAAGAATGTCGCAACTGCAGGAGATAAGGTGTGTAGATACATTTAAGAGATTTCTAAAGAATGAGCTCATTAGAATTGTAATAAATGGAGTTTTTAATGTTGCAGTCAATCGATGAAGTTCTGCAGTCAGGCGAAGCGATAAGAATATCGATGGGAGATCCAATTCCTGCGGAAGCAGACGCAGTGGTACCATTGGAAGATACATCAGTAGTTGAATATTCGATTGATGGTTCTGAAGTAATTAAGGTGGAAATCAAAAGAGCACCCAACTAAGGGAAAATTTTTAAATACAATTGTGGCATATTTAGTAATTTTTTTAGAATAATCGGAAGCGACGTATCGAAGAATTCTTTGGTTTTAAAAAAAGGCGAACGTATCAAACATTTCTCTTTTGGAGTTTTAGCCATGTTAGGAAAAACAAATATTTTGGTTTATAAGTAAGTTGAATTATTCAGTTTCCTAAAAGTTCCCTCCTTTACTGTAATACATTTTTTCTAGACGCCCTTCTATAGGAGTCATATCAATTGGCAATTATATTTGTGAACCTAAAGAAAAACTAGCCTCTGGCAAAATCAAAGATGCAAATAGATTCACCTTAATTAATTTGCTTAAAAATGTCCATTATGAAGCAAACGATTGTGGCATAGCTAAAGACAAGTATATAGCAATAAAGCAAGCTCTTGAACAAAGTTTTACTTGTAACGATGTTATTATAACGAACAGTTCAATGGGAGAATTGGACATGTTGAAACGGGTCCTCGTTGAGGATTTTCAAGCTACTATACATTTTTGCAGGATAAAGATGAAACCCGGGTAAGTCAAAGTTTCGTAATTTGAAAGATTTCAATGATTAAATGATTATCATTATATTATAGAAAATACACGACCTTTGCGACACTTATGTATAATTAAACATTGAAAATAGTGTTTGGCCTAACGGGTTATCCATTTTCCTGTGCAGTAACTTGTATATTATTCGTTATTCGTGCTCTACGCTTCATGGAAAAATCTCCCTACGACGGTTTTGTACCTATTTCTGTGCCACCAAATTCATTTAATATAGCTCCACTTTTTCTTAAAAACTTTATTTCTTTAATACAATCCGTTCGCTATCAGGAGATACTAATAAAACCTAAATTTGCAAATAATATGAAAAGTAGGTAATTAATATGGAAAATACATCAGGCGCGAATTAATGAAAAAAATCATAAAATTCCAAAACGTTACAGCTTTTACCATTGTATAATAGTTATGTTTATTTTACTTTATTAGTTCTCTCAGTATACAGGGTATTACCTGTTACTAGGTTGTATTTATTTGTTAGTGCCCCTATAAATTACTGCTTTATTATTTTTTTATAATTTCTTGATAGGAAACGGAGTATAGAATATAATATTACAATAAATCTCATTTTTTAGCGTTCGTTACCATATAATATTGATGATTGTCCAGAGTATCGACTAGTTAAAGTAAATAGGACTTTGACTGGAATGACAACTGCAGAGGATGTATCAAGGTTATTAAGTAATTTAGATAAAGCAAACGGTTTACTTATACTTGAGCCAAATAAAAATTACTCAATTAAAGATTCAAAAGGAGACTATCGCAATCTTTACAATGTAATATTATTTCATGAGAATTATTATCAGTGAAATGGGCTGTATTATTAAATCCAATCTCTGTTTTTTTTTCTAATTTCACATTAAAATAATACCAATACGTTCTTTTGATCAGTTAACAGTTCTTTTAATTTTTTCAGTTTCAGTTTGTAATAAAATATTTAATAAGTATTTTTGCTTTATTTAATCCCAATTGAAAGATTGTTTGTTGTGTTCTGTAAATACGAGCCCAGTCGCATATGAATTGGATCAAAACAAATATTCTACACAATATTATTTTCCCGTGTAGACAGTTATTTTATATTAATATCAAATAGTTAGATAGTATCCGATCAATTAGTAGTAGCAAAATTACTGTTAACTCAAAAAAATAAAATTGTGTAGAATATTTGTTTTGGTGAATATTATATTTTTTACGAGAGTATTATGTTTGTTGTATTATGTTGACTAAGTTCATATAAAAATTGATCCACAAACGCTTCATTACCGATCTACCGAAATTTCAAATTTTATTTTGATATTTTTTGAGCTCCTGCAGTTTTGGAGATATTATCCAATTGTTCTTCACAAATCGCTTTTAAACGTCTTTTAAACTGCTTCAGAATTGCTCTTCTAAAACCGGTTCTAAATCGCTCTAAAATTGTTTTATAACCACTCTAATTGCTTGCTCTTCTAAGCCCTCCAAAGATTTTGTAGAAGATCCTTTGTAACATTTGATCCTATAAACATCCCAATTTTGTAAGATTCTCCATTGCTTGGATTAACAATCCTTTAACAATTTAATCATACTATTTCAATTTTTACACAATATGACATCCGTCATATCGTGCTTGTGAGTTCTAAAATAGTAATATTTTAATTAATAATTACACTTTTACAACAGACATTTCTCGACCATTAAAAACAGAAAATTGCTTACATTTGCTGATATCAGCATTTCCTGTGCATTCGGAAACTGAACGTACTGTGGAATCAAATTTGCCAACGAATCCACAATGATTTTAAATACTCCATGGGCAGTGCTTCTTGCGAGTCCAAATCTATCTCCTGCAGCTAAGAAACACTCCGGTTTTCCGATGGTCCATAGAGAAAATAATTTTTTTATCAAAGTCAATATTGACCCTATTGTGAGCAATATTGTTTCCCAGCATGTTGCGTAGGTTCTGAAATTTTATTAAAAATCAACAGATTTAATATTTTGTGATTGAGAAACATACCTGAAAGGCTCCTCTACTCATTTGAAAATGTTCTTTGAAAAGATCATCTGAGAATCTTGGGACGGTCACTTTAAGGAAATCATCATTCATAGGTTTCCTTACTCGTGGATGTCCTTCTAGATTATCATTTCCAATTGGTTCATCGAGACCCAATATCAATGCATTTAGAACATCCATATTATCGTCATCGTTATTACCATCGTGCGCCAAGGCTATAATATTTGCAAGAATATTATTTTCACCTTCAGCCATTATTAATATCTCAATTATAGCAGGATAAGGATTAAACAGTATAATAACAAAACATTTATTTCACCTTCAACCTTTGATAGATGGAGGCGGATGAGGAAGAAAGTACTTTGGAGATTGTAAAATGGTAGAAAATGATTTAGGTTTGGGAATAGGAGCTTTGGAAATGGTTTTTTTTGGTCATTTTGTTGAAAATTGTCTATTAGTTTTTTCTAGGGTATTGTGGGTCTATTAGGAAACTTTCTGTTGAATAAATCTATTCCAAATCTATTCTAAAAAGTTTTAAATTATTCTAAACAGTTCTTAATGCTTCTGGAGCATTCTAAATTGTTCCAGACGGTTCTAATTCATTCGCTACAGTTCTAAATAAATATAGACATTTCTAAATGATTCTGGGTTGTTGTAAATGATTCTAAAAAGTTCTAAATTATTCTAAACAGTTCTTAATGTTTCTGGGGCATTCTAAATTATTCTAAAGAGTTCTTAATGATTCTGGCGCGAGTAAAAAAGTTTATTACTTATAAAAATTGGTTTTAAAAAATTTAATTCTTCACTAAAGATTATAAAAGTTTCAATGTACTATTTTTATGATAATTATTTTAACTATTTGAAATCCATTTATAACCATTTCTACCTCGAAAAAATACAATCTAAGAATTGATATGAACTGAACAAAAGTGTTCTTACAAAGTTAACAAGAATTTGGTCCAGGACAATTTAGAGTGCTTCTGGATGCATTAAAACTAGTTCAGAACAATTTAGAGTACTTCAGAATTAGAACTATTATTGCATTAGAACTATTTAGAACTTAAATTTAATCGAAATCCATGCATTAATATTTAGAAAAACAAATGTCGCTACAAGTTTAAAAAAATCTATTTGAACTCGAGTGGATGAATAAATATTATTTTGATAATATTCGTTAACTCCCTAGAAGACATTGGCGGCAATGAATAAATATTATTTTAATAAGGTTTATGTGAAATTTCTATTTTTTAATAAGTATGTTAAGAAAATCTTTTATTGATCACCAAACGAAAATATTATAATAAATGTTCGATATACATTGTTAGAAATTTAATTTCGCATAATAGGGAAATCATTTAAAACTACATTTAATAGTTCTTTTTTGGGGATATTTCATAAAAACATGTGAATCGGTAGGTACAGTTTTGAAAGAGCAACAAATTTTATTGAAATAAGGGAAAAAATAATTCAATTTTCTGCTAAAATTACACCTCAGTTCAGTAATATGAGATGACATCTGTATGACAGGTTTGCCTATAGTTTAGCAGAAAGCGGTGGACTATTTTTTAGAGTTCTTTTATTTTCTGTTTTAAAATAATCTTTAAGTTTATTTTTGGAGTTTCCTTTTTATTATTTTCTTAGAATTTACTTTCTTTTTTAAGCCATTGTGGCAAAAAGACATATCTACATAATTCTATTTTAATAATAGTGATATTTTTTCAATAAATTATCGTTTAAAAATTCTCATTTCTTTTTAATCGACTCGACGTTCGCTCATCCGAACCCATTTTGATACTGTCGAAGTGTCGAAACCGTCGAAATTATTTGATTTTTAATCTAACCAAACCAAATCGCGCGGTGTGAAGTCCAGTAGAACCATTAAATGTATTAGAATTTATCGCGACGTTCTATTGAAATGTACACTGGTAGATTGGATTTCAGCCGACTAAGAATTTAACATTGATTTCCCTATTATGCGCGAATAATTTTCCAATATAGCGCGTTTTTCCACGGTGGATTGTACGCCTACAATTATAACGCCTCGACGACAGTCTTATGACTAACGGGGTTGCTCGGGCGCCAGATTTTTATATGTGGTTTACTCCACGATTTTTACCCTTACTAAGAAATCGACGAGGGCCAGGTAACTGCAGTGAAGAATCGGTTCGTCCAGGGGTCGTGGTATTAGCGACCTATTAAATCGACTAAAAGGTGTAGTGGTTCGGCAATAGGTACGAATAAGCGGTTGCCGAAAGCGTACGAAAAGTACCGGGAAGAAAAGCGCGGAAGGGAGGACGGCGCGCGACGGGTACGCGGGGAGACGGTGGTGAATCGCTGCAGTAGCAGGGTCACGATTTTTCCGTTGTTAGCGATACTTGGGTAGAATTAATAGATTCCTCCCGCTATTTTAGTATTTGTGTTATTCATCGTTGCAATAAAGTTTTGTGTGAGTTCCTTGGTGTTTCCGTCTGTTTCTTCGCAACCCACGATCCTGCACGGAGATCCAGTGCAAAGGGAGGGCTTTAATTCTCCCCTTAGTGCGTACAGAACTTACCGGCAGTTTATCGTAAGAATTATTTTACTTCCAATCGGGATCGAGTGGAGGAAATAAAAGTTCTCGTTTTCGGGTTAAAAATAATACTTATTCAAAGAAATAATAATTACATAAAATAAAGATTTATAATCCTGACATGTAACGGGGACAGTAACGCGGTTTTTATTTCAACAAATAACGACTCTAACGCGGCGAACGAAACGGTTTTCAGGGAAAATAATGTCAGATTACCAGTTCCCAAATTTAACAGGGTAAAATACTTATAAAAGGTTTCAAACGGGAAATACACGGGATAATGAAATTATGCAATAAAATAAATTAATCAAAAACTATAAGTACTTACATTCGGATTAACGGACGTTCGCAGGTTACGGGTCGGCCCACGTGGAACTTCTCTCGAACTCACAAAAAAAATCGGATTGTCGCGAAACGCGTATTAAATTTTACCTCGGCAAATACAAATCGAATTTACAACAAGCTTTGAACCGTTAACTGGACACTCGGAAATTTTCGGAAAATGAAAATTAAAAGCAGCGAAAACGCGAGACTTACATACGGGTCCAAAAAGTACGTGTGAGAACTTAAACGGAATGAGAGTGTAGACCGAACCTCTTTCTTTCGAAAAGCCGGTTAATTTATACTTTTTGAATTTGCAAAAACTTTACTTCCACTTCTAATTGAAGATGGATTCGGCGCGGAAAGTCAAACTATAATATACGGGGTGATAATTAAATATGGGAAATCTGGAAAATTAACAATACGAAAAATAAAATAATAACTTCGTTACATTACAAAAGTTCTTCTAAAGTAATTCTTATTTATCATTTTAAATAATGCAATTAATTAATTAAATGCATATAAAATAATATATATTTTAAATAATGCAACTAAATTTTTAATGCAATCAGATTGCCATTAAATGATAAATGTTCATATTTAAACATTTGAATTAAAAAAAAAACAATATTAACGCCAAATCAGTTATAGAGGTATTCTGACATGTGGTTGAAATATGTACATGTAATTTACAAACACCCAGTATATTTATATGTATATGAACGTATCCATACAATACGACAGGTGTCACTTGTCACAGGTAAATCGCAGTGAAAATTTTAACAAAAAAACAATTTTTAATTTCCTCCTATTTTAAAAGAAACAGAAAACCCCACTTTTACTTCTACCAAATCGTCCAAAGACTCCCAAACATGCAACTAATGCAACAAAATCAACAAAAATGGATTGTGAAAAACGCCAACTACGTT